CAAAAATGGAGTGGTTTGCTTGCAGATTCCGACGAATCAAACACTGCGGCTAAGTTTATAAGACAGGTTAACTCCACATCACACAACTATGTCTCGAAAAGTACCACCGATACTGCCACTGAAGCTACGTATATATCAAGGTCTTTTGTTGTGTAAATAATTTACTACCACAAACACAGAGAAGTAATCCCTGTTCTTTTTTTAACCAAGATTTCGAAGAGGAAAGTACCGTTAATTCATGAAAATGAAAACTTGCTCACTTACTTGGAAGTTTGGACATTAGACGAACAGGGGGTTTGAACGAAAGCTTTAGAAACGCATGTCGTTCAAAGAACTCTCATCGACGTTGGTAGAACTCGAACGAAGATCGTATGCCAAAACGTTTCAACAGTCTACTGTTCCCCGGCAAATAAAGCCGTGCTGCCACTAAATTTACCATCTACTAGACCAGATTTATCGGCCGCTACCCCTCATCTGATGCAAGCGACGTACAAAAACCTATTCATGCTCAACTAACCCAAGGATGTTTCATGAGCTTCACGAAGTCACAAACACACCGTTGGTGACTAAACGGTGATGCATCACACTTATCAAGTAGATCAACCATCTTGACTTTCTGCCACCCACTTTTCAGACAGTGAGCAAAATTACCCCCTTGAATTCTGCAAGCAACTCCCATGTTGATGAATTACACCAACTCGTGATAAAAAAGATCGGTGGATACACATATATTTACACACCAGCTGCCAAATATGTATATATATACATCCTACTGCAGTGTCTGTGATTCTGGCGTCACTCCACAGTAAACGGGTAGAAAAAAGACGTAAACTTGATATTATTTCAGCTCATGTCAGCCCGAGGATTCACGTAAACTTACATCTATCGTGTTAAAAGTTTTATGTGAGGATATATACTTATTATTATTTTCCACATCTGGCTTTGTAAAGGACTCTCCAGGACTTTATTATCATAAATAATGAATGAATATCTTATTTTCAGATTATGAATCGAACATGAGAGGAGACATCTGATGGTGATAATCAAATTGATAATGGTCGAAAAATTCTAAGCATTTGGGAAGGCCCGGATGGCACAGATAAGAAGACATTCAGAGGCGTCTGCAAGTCACGAAAAGGACGATAAAATAATGTCTCTGTCAAGTAATTTTTTCTCTTAAGAGTGGTAACATCTTCCACGCTATGTGCACTTAATATCTGACCTTGCAATATTAAAGTCTGCTGCAACCACTCCTAATTAATGTGAATGAAAAGTCACATATGAAGACTTGTTTGCGCCAATTTCAACAGAACTCCATGTTTGGTTTCAAAGGGCATGCCAAGCTTCCAAAATCCTAGATGCAGGCCAGTATCCTTCGGACAAAGTTATAACAATATCTTCTATCTCATGTCACACCAGCATCGCGAACCTTTGGTTACAAATAATGTTGGCGAGTTTGCATATTCCGCATACATTTACACCCCTAATCTGCATTCGGAGGGCTGAATTCAGGTAGCTGCTCAACGCAGACATACAGCCTCTTCATGTTGACAACAATAACAACAGTAGTCGTAACGATATACTTCTCATGAAACAGTTGATACGTGAACCACATAACCATTTTACAAGCACATCCATTTTTTCACTGAAGTAATAATGGAGTTCATACAGCGTGCAAAACTTCGACGGTCTTGTCGCAAATTTCGATCAGTTATTTTATGGATGGCTAGACTGTTCAGTGGAGGTTATGCGCTCATCGCAACTGATAACCATAGAGGCTACTTATTGTGCACCGCCTGGAGTTTCAGGATGCCAAACTTTTTCTCGTGGATTTGAAAGATGTGAGACTACTGGACTAGTGCCGATTGACACCTAAGGGTAAATATATGCATGTCAAAGTGACAAACTGATTGTCTCTGTAGTCGGCATGGCGACAGAATCTCTATTTTGACATGTGCCACTGTCGTACATGGCATTTTGAATGTTGAAAACTTTCGGCATATTCCATTTTATTTTTGAAATCTGATTTCATCTTGACGTCTAGGTGTCCAAATGAAACAGTGGTGTTAGTAAGGTGTGCCCACTGCCTCGATGGCAGCTTATCATCGGTGTTGGGGAAAAAACTGCAAAATTGGTATGAAAGTGAAGATTGAAAGAATAAAGCAGTTTAGAAATGCCTCGCACATGCAGTTTCAATTGGAACCCACGATCACTAGGAAATTTCACTCTCTGTCTTCCAGGTGTCACAGTACTTTCACTTCCGATTAATATGTATGCAGCTACCCTAGCTTCAGTGCCCACCAGGCAGTCAGGCTTTATGGTTCAGTAACCACGACAGTGGGTGAGTTTCCAGTAATCTCTTTTTTAAATTTTCGATTCTCATTTTACTTTCAATGAAACAGTATGAATAGTTAGGTTTCTCTCCACCGGATCCAGATTCCTATGTGAGATTTGAGTAAATTGAATCAGTCTTTTTTGCGGAACGACATCATTCACATAGGTATCCAATATCGTAAACGGAAGATGAAGTCTGTATAACCCTCCCTTTCGGTTTCCTCACCTGCAAGTTTGCCGTGGGTAAAGATTTCAGAGAACACATCGCACCTTCGCCCGTGAGGCAATAAAACTTATCTGCAAACGTTGGACGGGCTGACCGTGAGTACAGTATCAACGATTTATCTTCTGTTGACGGCGTACAGCCATCATGTGATGCCTGTCTGTTATCTAGCAAACTCTCAACCCCTGCAGGTAAATGAATTACACGAATACCAATCAATAAGGAATTCCCACAAATACTTGTCACGATTCAGCGTCCCCATGAGTTGCTCTCAGATTCTTCCAAGTCCTTGCGTTCGGTGGAATATCACATTCAGTCTAGCTTAGTATTCCTTATAAGCATTTCAGTAATAAAATGTTGCTTAATTACCAAAGTCTTCCCTTCAGTTTCATGATTTCTTTGCCTAGCGTAAAATCTTGGGACAAAGTTGGTGCTTATGCACATGAAAAATATGTTCAGTAACGTGACGCCACTTTGTGCCACGTGTATCATTTGGCATTAGGTACACAAATGTTATGCATACGTATTTGTTGAACACAGAAATTTGCAGTCTTCACTGTGTCGCACTGTCCGATATTGGTTTGCAGCTGTATTTGGCCGGTGCAGTAACTGGTCTACAAAAGTAAAGTCATGGAAATTAGACATAGTCTACACGTTTGTGCAAGAAAATACACCCCATGACTAGCAGTGAGTCTGCAGCTCCTACCGCCAATTCATTGGCTGTTCAATGTTTACCTACTCCTCACTTGTAAGATGGAAATTTTTGATGCATAAATTGTTTTCGCTGAATAGAACCCCACTCTCCCTGTCACAAACATTTCCTGTTACACGTTCAGTAACCGACTCCATCTTGGCTTTTTATTCAACTCCTTGTGATAATTCCTAAGGTTAGATGCCAAGTAGCCCGTTTGCCTTGCGCAAGATTGAACCATATTGAGGAAGATGGAGTCCAGTTATGTGGCTGTCTGCATACCACTTACGATAAAGTGATATCAGCAGTGATCTGAAACAAGTAAAAGTAGACCAGATCTCCACGCTTGGCGCAACGGAAACACCGCAACATGAAAGAGTGTTGAGCGTAGTTTTGACCCACTAACAGCCTCGATCGTAGAAAGACAATTTGAATTTCGATAACTTACGTGGAAGTACTAATAAGTTACACCTAATTTGTTTTAACCTTCTCTAAGTTATAAAATCATCACAACTGGTCAATTGTTGTAGCTCTTTCCCCACCTAACTGGTTCGACTTGTAGTAATAAAGCAGGAAGACCCTTCATGCACCACTGCAGTCAAGCCACTTCCGTGGATGATTACGTTACCAATCCAAGTCTGTCTCTCTAGGCCCCTATTTATACGGTTCCAAATACACCGGGCTTCTTCAAAGAGCCGGGCAAAAAACTTAATGTTTCATCTTTCGAATTTTTGGCAGATTGTCTGGATTTGATACTTGACGGGTCATTAGAAACCTTATCATGAGGAATATGTGGCCGCACTGTTTTCCCCGGGATTCGGTTTCTAAGACCGGTATCATTTGATTTCCTCAACTTCCTTTTTAAGCCTGTTTTGTCTCTTATTATACTGTTATTTGAAGTTCAGATCCAATGGATTTCCACTTCAATAAGGGGACGTTCTGGAATTCCTAAATACGTCCTATACCGCTCACCGTTCATAATTTTCAGACTGTGGCAGGCGCAATTACCAATTATGATGACGAGAGCATCAGGCTGTATTCCTCATTTTGTGTAACCCACTCGAAATAGTGTTTCAGATTGAACAGTTTCTTACACTGAATTAAAACACTCGTGGTACATTCTGACTCTTTGTAGGGGTAACTGCACTACGTTTTTTCGAGCAAACTTACTAGGCCAATGTTTCAGTCTTTATCTTATCCTGAGAACATACGTGACTTTCTTTCCGCTCAACTTCATAGGACACTGTGATACCGCACACCAATAGACAGTGTTGAAGGACGTTACCCGCAAAAATTTCTAAGAAGACTCATGAACTGGACTAATTAAGAGTCTTATTGATAAGTTTGCAAAATCTACATAAAATAGCAAATTTAAACTGAGATGAAAGAGATGTTATTTATCTAAAGCTAAGAACTGTTCATTAATAGCTATCTTGTCCAAAAATATCCCAGATATTTTTAAAGCCCCGGCTAGTGATTCTCCGGATCACTTGTCAGACTAATGGGAAGTGATCCAACATGTTGTGAAGCTTCATCCAACGGGAAGAAGGATTATTAACTGAGCGTGCAAGCCATGGTGTCACTGACGAAGAAAACTCTTTTGGGTATAGGAAAATGACAAAAGCAATGAACTTGTTTTCCGTTCAAATTCTAATGAAGCCACGGAATAAAAACAACTTACACGCAGCGATCCACACTGTTTTTTCTCTACCACCTGAGAAGCCTATTTGTTTGAATATTTCACCTGGCAAGGTTTTTCCGTACATTGAAAAGGCGGGTGTTTGTCGACATTCGGCTGAGTATGTTTTCAGTAGAGTGGATATATAGCACAGCGCGATTGGAACCTTTTGACTATATTCGAAAGCCCCAAGTAATTTCGCGCATAGTTTCTGTGGTAATTAAGTGCTGTTTGTCTGATATTAGGTACTTTTTAGATATTATCAACAGTTGTGATTGGAATTGTGCACAATGGCTGCTATATTTATGGAATTTGTTTGTTTAACGAAGACCAGGGAGCTTGTGGATATAGTTTGTTTCTTTCTTCTTGTTCGCTTATTCTTTCTCTCGTCTACTTATGGTTGGACTTCATAGTGGACAATGTTTCGAATGTGGATACACGCTTGATAATAGTCAAATTGGACGCTGCCTTATCGGGTGCGTGTTACGTTTCTATTGATTATTCAGATTACTACTGTCTTTTTAGACGCGATACTAATTAGATACTTTTTTTCATATTTCCGAAAACTTCACAAGTCACATATTGACTCGTCACTTAAAGTTATTACTATCGACCTTAACGTTCCATGGCCACATAGGATGACATTAGCCATTAGGAAAACATATAACGCGGAAAATCTCATCGTTGTGGAAAAACATCCTTCACCAAAAGCCTAAACACTGTACTAGAGATTACGTCACATCCCATTGTTTACCAATATGCATGTGTGTAGTTACACATACTTAGGGAGGATTAATCGAGTCATTATGTTGATGATGGGAGAACATGTACCCAAATGGCTTCAGAAAAAAATGGAGTGTGAAACAGTGGCGAACACTAGTGGGAAACGACCCTCTTTATCTGTAGCTAAATATGTCATAGAAACAGGTCACATAGTTAATGTTCAAATAGCTTTCAAAGTTTTATATAGAAACAGTCAGGGACGCTTTCTGAGATTTGCGGAAGCTACAGCCATACACAAATTGAAACCACCTTTATGTGTACCAAAACAATTTGTTCTTACACTACACCTACCTTGGTAAACTTTGTTTTGCTATCAAGATTAGTATCAACCAGGTCACTTCCTGTTTGTTCTCATGTTTCTTAATCTTAATCCCCTATTGTGTTAGTTGTTGTATTTGCCCCCTCCCACTCCTCCGTTTAGTATATATTTACTTGACAAATAAATATGTGATCAGATTGTTCGAAATGTATTGTGCAAATACATTACATTGTTCAGACAAACTTCGTCTTCGAATTACGATATTGTAAAAGCAACTGGAATAATAAGTGGATTTGAGTACAAAATATTGGACCATCTTAGGATCACCTTCACTTTATGTGAAATGTCATTGAGAAACATTGATTAAAACCTGTCTTCTTTGAAACTTGTCATTTCTTTTCTGGTTTCCCCATCAAAGCTGCTTTTTATGGTAGTTGACTCCAGGTTAATAACCATCATGCATGTTATCATATACTAAAATTTTTCGATAAGCAAACCTGTAATATCGTGCCCTCTTTCTTTGCGATCCCAGTTTTATCATGTAACTAGGCTAAATTGCCCTCTGTCAACACCACTAAGTATCCATCCATCCAAATCAACATAGTACCAGGCATTACTGCGTAACGGTCCGAGTTGCCACAGCTCATGCCAGTACATCAAGTAAAAAGGTAGTGAGGTGAAGCATGAAGATAAAAGAATTCAGCCAAAAAAATATAAAGTACGAGAAGAAAAAAGGAGGATGACAAAATGGTGAGATTCAATATAGCGTCGTTAAGATGAGGATAATGTGTGTATACATCTGCGCCACTGACTTTGATTCTGAGCCATATCACCTAGGGTCTCCAACCACTCCTTCCTCTTGTTTCGAGGACCCTAACCAGCTAATCTGTATCGCCCCACATAGCTCAAACCAACAATCAGAGCCTTCACAAATTGGTGCCATGTTTTAGTCTGGCCACCTCGGGCCTTTTTCCAGCCTGGGCCGACTTCAGCCAACATTGTGTGACGAGGCAATCGGTGACTAGGCATACGTAGTACGTGTCCCAACTATCTCAATCGATGAAGGTTCATAACCTCATCAACTGACTTACTTCTACTCCCTAAAACTCTACACCTGACTTCTGCATTACTCACGTGGTGACACCACGGAATAAGGTCTATAATACGAAGGCAACGGTGGTCAAACACTTGAAGCCTTCCCATGTCTTTCTACAGCTTCAATGGCCATGTTTCACAGCCGTACAGTAGAACCGACCGGACTGCTGTGCAGTATACGCAAACCTTAATAGACAAACGGATATCACGGCGGCGCCACAGGGGGCGTAATTTGGCGGAAGCCAGTCGAGCCTTTTGTATTCGTGCAGAAATTTCATCGACCACTGAGCCACAAGGGCTGGCCTGGTCCTACTTCCCAAGTAAGTGAAGTGTTAGACACACTCAATCACTACACTCTATTGTTAGCCATGGCACCGTTGAAGACGAATTCTGGAGCAACAATTTGCGTTTGGGTGGCGAGAAACGCATCCCAAACATTCTCAAATTGCCAGCGTCTTCACCTAACAGGACTATCTCATCTGCATATTCTAGGTCTAACGAAAATTCTCCTACGATTAGGTCAAACTCTGTGTAGTCAGGTGGTGAGAGGGAGACAGACCTCTATAATAATACCTATGACAAAATTGAATAAGAATGGAGACAATGGGCACCCTTGAAGGACACCATTCGACGAGTACAGCCACCTGGACATCTCACCATAGGCTCTAACACACCCACAAGTGTTCGAATAGAAACCTTCAATAAGGTGGTGTACTTACTCGACACACCTTTCAGTGAGAGACATTGCCATAAAACTTCTCGATCAACGGAGTCGAATACCGCCACCTTCAGGTCGAGAAATACAGCTAGTGTCAGGCATCGGTAAGTGTGCCTATGTTCCAGGACCTGACGTAGGGTGAATATTTGGCCAATACACCCGCGGTCGGGTCTGAACCGTGTATGGTTTTCTCGGGTTCGCTGTTCCCGAGCTCCACTCAGGCGTCGAAGAATATGGGACCTAGAATCTTAGACACTATGTTCGTCAGGCTGATTCCTCTATGGTTATCACAAGACGACTTTTCGCCTTTCCTGAAGGCTGAGATAACCAGTAATTTAAACCAGTCAGAGGGGGTCGTATTTGATTCCCATATACTGGTTAACACTTCCGTTAACCTGACTAAGAGCACCTTACCACCATCCTTGTATACCTCAGCAGGTAGTCTGTCTAGTCCTGCCACCCTTCCTCGTTTCAGGTTACCTACCGCTTCTCAACTCCTAGTGTTGGGGGACCTATCTCTATGTCCCATTCAGGACCCGACTGGATAGCGGGCAACGCAATGGTGGCAGGACGCCAGTTAAACTGCTCCCCGAAGTGTCCTACTCATCGTTCCAGTCGTCTCACCTGCGAGTGAATCGTGGATCCATCCTTCTCCGCTATAGTCTCACTAACTGTTGTTGACCTTTTCCCTCCAATTTCCTCAATAAGTCTAAATAACTGTTTGCTATTACTAGTTGCCGCCTCCTTTTCCCTCTAGCCTTCGCTGCCCACCACTGTTCGCGATCCTTGCGTAGACTTTTTCTCGCTCTTTATTGTACTCAGAGCCTTCAGGGATGCGTTCGCGTGCATCCCATTAGTTCGTTAGAAGCTGCTGATATCTACTGACTCTTTTTAGCCACTCTTTCGAAGTCGGCTACGGTCTTCAGCGATGGTTTTGCAGCAGACTAGAGATAGCACCAAGCTTCTCGATGAGTGACAGTCTTTTGTTCCGATAACTGTCTAGCCAAGTTCTCACTGAATACGGCTTTGTTGTTTTCTTTGTCCAGCACCACTCGTAGCGGTTTGGTTGCCAACTTTTTCCTACGCAGACATATACGCGCTCGGATCAACTCGTGGTCGCTATCCAAACACGTACTCCAGAAGGAGCGGCAGTCTTCCACTGAGTCAAGTAACATACATGCTGATACATGTAGATGGTGACGGTCGCACATCACTGCCGATGCCAATGTGAATTATTAGCATCACATCGGTTGTTGGATATTGTTTATTTCAGTAACGCGTAAAAGTCTTATCAGTCTCATCATGCTATTCTCCTCAACCATTAAGTATAACATTTATGTCGTATCAGAAATTTGATATCTGAAGTTCAGTGATGTTCCGTGTCCTACAGATTATTTTCAAGCTCCGTTGTCTAGTGACTCTTTGAGTGAGTGGAGAGTAAATGGTTTTTAAGTAGTTTCCTAGAAAGCGTTTACACGATTTATCTACTAAAGTTTAACTTGCAATCGAATGAGGAATAGAGAGTAGAGTACTTCCAAAGATTATCCCCTATTTATAGTTTCAAGTTTATACTTGACATACTGCTAGGACCAAGAATCTGGACTATTATTAAACTAAGTATCTATCGCAGACACATTCATTGTCTGATTACCAATAATTTACATGACAGAAATTTATCGCTGATGAACGGAATATTTTTTCTGAACCCGTCCTTTTTTCTCTACAGCGCCTTTGTTCGGAGTGTAATCAATAAACAACAGCCGAAATGAATTTTCACTATCTGCCACCATTCTTGTGTTATAACTTTGTCTGATTGTAATTAATAGTAGTTATTATTATGGTTGCTTTATTCCAAACATCATGTGTGACATAAAGCGATCCATCAGCATTCAATATTTTCGAAAAACTCATTCCGTGTACAATATTTTTAACGAAATAATTATTTCACATTAGCTTCTGGTCTGGACTGGTGAGTGGACAGAAAATATAGCGAAATTTTGTTGGTGTTAGTTTATTCAACCAGTACAAAAATCTGCAATTCGACATAAGTATCCTATGAATAGCATTTTTGTGTAATTGTAGGTCCACTTCTTACCGGTGTAACGTTTTTCCTTTGTTTTGTTGTTGGCTTAAAAAACTACAGTTTAGAAACATTGTAGAAAAGCTCAAGACTGCATGACACATTAAAAAGACATAATTAAAGTTATAAAAAGTCAAAAGTGAAGAGTTTGATAAAATATGCGCGGCGGAAAATCTTCGGTAGCCCAATGTTTAAGCAGGCCACCAACTATCTGAAGCACTTGTTTCTGTCGTTTGTCTTAACGATGATCTTGCATGTGATTGGTCTGGAGTATACTAGCTCAGTCTCGTATACTACTCAATCCACTCACTGAGACGCTATTCGGTCCTCTCAAATGCATAAAACGAAATACGAAGTCCAATGCATACTATCCGTATGTATTTCGGGCGATCTGATTCATCTGTATTTAAAACTAAAGTACCTGACCATAGCGCACCTAAATTTGTAAAAATGAAGCAGTCAGTTTCATACACAAAAAATAAGATAATACACAAAAATGGATTTCATCCAACACGCAATTATTCCCGAAATATATGTCATACACAAATGGATAAGGCGTGAATCGATAGCTCTTAAACCCAGATATGCGATAACGTTACCAATGAAGTGATTAGAGTAACTTTTAAAATAAGTAAAATGATACGATCAATGACACATCTGAGACTTATGTTTCCCACTTTTAGATGGATATGATACTTGATATCTATTTGTCTGTGCTACAATTAATTTTCAGTGTATCAAATCTGCTAGTCGCTTGCTCACTGCATCTGTTTGCCCACCTCTTGTTTAACAATGTGATTCTGATGGTCACAAATTTTCATTTATTGTTTCTGAATTCACAGCGTCACTTTACAGTTATGGTATGCTGTGGCTCAGTGGTTTAGGGAGATGATTATCAACCAGTGAGTCACTGGCTAGGACTGTGCTCCATTACGGAGGTTTGGGCAACCAGCTATTATTATCAATAGCCTTCACATGACAGGTGTTGCTCGTTGCCTACTGCATGAATGTGCATAAAGTTGTTGAGTATGTTTCGTTTGGTTACAGTAATGGGTATTTATACTATTAAATGGTCGGTAAGTTGGTGCTGCTGTCATTGTTTGCCCGTGATAACCCATCAGTCATTCGATAGATGATACCTAATCACTGCGTCAGATTTTTTTTATCTCGTGTTTGTACGTTTCGCTTCTTTAACACTATGCAAAAAGGAATGTGTAGTCCATTTTTCAGTTTGATCACCACCATGTGGGGTAAACCGCGTCTCTGCGACATACCACAAAACCTCCTGGAAAAAATATTCTCTTCATGATGACTTGTTTTTCCTATATCTGCACAATCGTGTCTATGTATAATATGGTACATGTCTCCGAATCACTGCTGAATATCCTAAGGATCTGAAATGTTCCATATCATATACCTTACAGAGAAATGGAAATCAGCGTAGAACTTGACACAATAGTGTATCAGTTCTAGTCGTCACACTTCACAGCAGCATTCAAGGACAAAGTAAACTGGAAAAATATTAGCGTAAACAAAAGTGTTTGAAAGGAGAGGATCAATATATATGACTTTCAATGGAAATATTCCGAACTTGGATAGTACTAAAGAGCGTATGCGACTGAGCCATTGTTGCCGATTTTGAGCCGTTACCAGAAGTCTCCAGCCACTGATTCCTATTATCTTGGGGATTCCCGTAAGGCAACTTACATGGCTCAGTTTACGTGAACTGGTCCTACTTCTTAATATGGCTACACTTAGCATTCTAACAGTTCAGTGCTACTTTGACTGATATCGCAAGTTGAGGTACATGGTGGATCGATATGGGTGATACATATACAGGGTATCTGAGTTAGTGAATATGTATAATTTCATCAAATGACTAATCTTCCTTGCCTAGTTACCTCTGCGTAACCTTGACATTTCTCACTCGGTTATTCCACCACATTGGAGCGGTACTACAAGAATACTTGTATTTAAAAATCGTAGCTTCTTATCGCTTACTTTCAACAGACATCTCTCTCTTGTGTAATATTACAGGACATGCATGTACCCCCAAAAAAATATAAAAAGCTCAGTGACCCTTGCAAACTTTTACATACTGGGATTACGATCCGTACTTAATATACAATGCAAACCAAAGCACACTAATGACCAAATCTAAGATGTGATGAACTGGAACCATAATTTTTTCAAAGTCAAACACCCAGACCACCGAGCTGTAATTATCAGACAGCTAGGCTGCAATGATTTGAGACCCAGTACATTCCGAGCCTTGTTCATATCTGAAAGGATAACAAAGTGAAGAGTTTAAAGTTTAGCCATGGCTTATTTTTGACAAGAAAGGAGAACCATTCATTAAGACTGTGAGATTATGCTATATACATATACTGAATAATTTTCATTGATTCTAGGTTGATTACTACTGCACTCAACATTCATTCTCTGACTAAAATTTTTGAACATGTGTAGTTCTATACACAAATTTTCTTTGATTATCTCTTTTTTAAGAAGTATGTTTTTCATGGGGTCAGATTTGTAAATGTTGTGAGATTATATATCACAACAGTTAGCTTACCTTCCGGTGTCGAATCCTTTAGTAGGTGGAGATGCATTTAACGCCGTCTGTTGCTTTGGCGTTTTTAATTTCTCATCTGTTTCTTTTCAATCCGGTCTATTGGTGTACATGACAAGTTTTGGACTCTTTCACTTTTTCTCTCCAGTTTGATGGGCTTGTAAAAGAGCATTTCTCACTTCTTAATTTCCTTTTCTGATGAGAACTTCTTTGATGATAAACTTGAACCTTGCTAGTATTTTTTCAAACTGTATATTCAGTTTCATTCATATCGTTTTGGTTAGTATCATTTACAAAGTGGTTTAAGGGCACTTTTATTTCTTTTCAAGTTTAAGGCGATTGTCGTGGGCTTGGATTCGTGCCATAGCCTTGTCGCAGGGTGCATGCTATAGTTCATGTACTACATACTGCGGTTGATTTTGAGTGAGATAATTCATATGTGTAACGACTGGTGTTATCCACCACTTCGATCAATAATCATGTTATGTTTGAGTTCTGATATCAATGAAAGCTACATGAAGGGCACTATCCAAAGTTATAGCTGCGATCCAACCAAATGATTTTAGATATTTGATGCTTTAGAGCAAAATCTTACAAGCTTGTAAGTAAAAAGTAATCGTGTGGCTCAGCAATTATATGCTTGTTTTGGCATAAGGCATTGAGTCGCCTGATGTCGCCTGAATTCTCAAGCTGGTCAGCCAAGCAAGGCTAGAATCTGGGACATAACAGTTGACAGTTAACTGCTTAAATTAATGCAACAGAGCTTTGCATCATAAACTAGACAGTTCCTACATATCGTATGATAGGTTGAAATGGGATATATTAATCACCTAGTTTTACTTGATTCCTTTACGGTGAAACGTTCACCAGTGAACCTAAAAGTTAATAAAATTGCAATTCGAGCCAAACCAACTGCCCAACACTCATTTAATAGCATTAGTCCAATTGCTAGTAGTTATACATGAGAATAATATTCACATTTTCATCTTATTCGACTGGTTGTTAGCTTTTTTAGATAGTTCAAAAGCCGTACTATTGAATTGTGGTTTAAATTCTTCAAGTAGTCTATGAATATATTCGACGTAAGAGTAAAAGAAATCATCATCTAACTATAGAGTTATTGAGTTGACATCAATTCGTATGCAATCCAAAGTTGACAATTACTATCGTAGAAATAATTTCCGTTGATAATGACAATTTGAAACAATATTTCTTTTCAGTTAACTTTTTATCATCAACTCTACGCTAATCTATGAAATTCTTTCACCAGCATAATTTAGATCATGAGGATAGTTCCTGAAATATAGAAAAAAGTGATTATTGACCATGGGAATTAAGATGGAAATTAAAAACGGAGGTGTAAATTGTGAAATAGTGAAAATCAAGGTAGGTCGTTATGTAATTGGCAAGGTACATAATAAAAATGGACAGAAACAATAAGTATATCAGATGGTTATTGATTGTCATCGGTTAATTAAGAATAGAAAGGTTTAATAAAGAAGAAGCTCGTTGGACAGATAGTGAGAAGGGTCATTTTTACATTGCCTACGAATATAAAATTAAATTATGTAGGTGACCAGAGTAGGGAAAGGAACTGCAAATAATTTCCAATATCTTCCGCTGCATGTAAAAGATGTTTTCTCATAGTATGGCTACAACAACGGATCTACTGTGGGAATATGTCTTTTACATGCAGTGAAAGCTATCGGAACTCATTTGAATAAACCGAAACTATCTGTTCAGATGACATTTGTATAGCCTTAGTATTTTTGTCCGTGATACCTCAAGTTTCTCCCTTTTCTGTGATCGACAAACTTCCACTTTCAAGCTAGGAGGTGATGTACTCGAAAATTCGGCGTTTGATTGTGTTTGCATTTGAAGTATGCGTAGTTATTTTAGTAGGTCTTACATTTTACTCTAATATATTTCGTGATGTGTTTCTATGTCATTTCTAAGAAGACGAAGATTAATTGATAGCAATCTTATTCAACTTATTTCGTTGTTTAAAGTCTTCCTACCAATGAAGGAGTATAATTTTTCGCAATACAGATATCCCTAGCATGGTAGTTAACAGCATATCAACCTTGTTTACTATAGTCATGATGCTTCTAAAGAGGTCTGTAATATTTATTTGTGAATTGGTTAGGTGTATTACAACTCTACCATCTTAAATCAATAAATTTCTTATATCTGTAGCGTGATTATTTATTATATGTACTAAATCAATCAAATGCTTTCTACTCAATAGGTTTGTGGACTTTCCTATGGTTTACTTCATTTTGCCTACTTTGTAATCGTTGGCAAAACACAACACAAGATTTCATGTCACAGAATGCTGTTTCATCTGATGGACCTCGTAGTGCCATTGCGTTCACATTTTTCAGCACGCTTATTTGGGTAAGTCTCACCAAACTGTCTATGTATGATATCTTTCCTAATACTTAAACATGCTTATTCATTACGTGATTGTTTTTGAGACATCGAAGTCACTTGGGAGTTGAATTTTTGTCGAGACTCTACTGACTTTGTTGATTTGTGTGAAATAATAAAACCTCGAAATAACAACCCACAAAAGGCTATCTGACAGGCCTTAGTGGAATATCTCTTGAGTGCTACTGTCATGCTAATCTTTTCCTCTTTCAGCTACCTTAAAAAGAAATTGCTTTCCACGGTGTGGGCAGCCGGGAAGTGTCAACCGCCAGCACACCTCCAGTAGTACACATAACCCAATTAATAAAGCCTATCCCCCTCAACTCTGTCTGCTCCTTCGGCCCCACCTCACAATACTTATATTAGGCCTCTTACAGCTTCCCCAGCCTCGCATTCTGCAACCATTGCGAGCAATTAAAGCCATCGAAACCGCATTCCTAGTCTCTTAAGACCCCACCATCGATTTCATTTTTGAACTTTCAACGTCCGAACTCGATGCCCAATCGGACAGCTGGGATCGTTCGTCAAAACTCTGGAATCTCTATCCATGGATCTTTTCTGTATCTTTCAGACACGTGTACAGGACCCGTGTGTGGTTTTTAAATTGACCTCACCTGGCCAGAGTAGTGAATCTTCAAAATTCTCCTTACGAGTATCTGGTGACCCAATGGTCAGCTCTCGTGGACTCGCTGGTGTAGGCATAGCTGTAAAGCAAAAAATCGCACTTCTCTATTGGATGCTAGTCAAAAGCCGTGTATGTACTGTTCCACTGAATAGATCTATAAGAACTAGGAAGGATCGTAAGACCAACCAATACCTGTTTGTAGTCTCCGCCAACGCACCCAACGACTGCAGTTCGAATGAATTCTATAATAAGCTCACGACCTTGCTACAGAAAGCAAAATGTTCAGATGTGGTCATAGTGGCAAGTGACTTAAGCACTCAAGCAGAGAAGATGACTCAGTCGGAAAGGCATCTTGGTAGTATTGACGAGACCCTATACCAACGAACCGAAAATGGTGATCGTCTGTTCCAATTTTGTTCCGACGATCGCTTGTTTCTGACAACAACTAACTTCAGGCATAAAAGAAACAGTCCCCCGGTGTCTGTCGACTTCAAACCAACAATGGACACAAATGGATCACATTGCTATAAGCCAACGTTGGAGGATTGCTGCTCTTTCTGGAGTACCAGTTTGGACTCCGACCATGCGTTAGTACAGCTAGGTGTATGTCTGCGACTCACTGGTCACAGAAAACAGGCAGTAGTAAAACCTATCTGTGCTCGATTGAAAGATGAGGACGCCAAGTACGTATTCGGGGAGAAGTTAGCTGAGCATTTATCTTGATAGCTTGATAGCAAAGCTAATCTTGAAGAAACAGCATGACATTAAGTCTGTTGTAGAAATGGTAGTAAAAACAGTTGATAACTTACACCTGAAGGTTAACAAACGTCATTGGATTTCCGCAACATCATCGGAACTGATTGACGCGAGAAGACTGATTTCAACTGGCCTTGACCACGAAAGCAGCTTAAACGTATATTGTAAAAGTCTTCTCAATGATCGCGAACAGTGGTAGGTGGCGAGAGTGAGAGGTGGGGAAGGCATCAACGTTGGATAACACTCGGCAACTATGTAAGCTTAATAAGGATGCCAAGTAAAAGATAAAGATGGTCACTGAAACCGTCACCGAAAGAGATGTTACCTTGATAACCTCCCAAGACAGCCAGATATAACGTTGGGTGAAACACTTGGGAATACACTTCAACTGGCCCTCAGCAATGCTTCAGTGGCCCATGATCCAGCCTGAACCTGAATGGTACGTCGATGTCGATATTTTAACTACCCTGGAAATTGAAATGGTTGTTTGAAAACTGAAACGATGCAAAGCTGCCAGACCTGACGGTTTGCCACCACAAGTTTTCAAAAGATGAGGTGGGAAATTCGCCGATTAGAGTGACGGAGATGTTAGGCAGCATATGGGAATAAGAATGGTTTACTTCACTGGTCATTCCAGTCTATGAGAAGGGAGAGAGATCCTCTTGTGACACCACAAGAGAATCAGTTTCACTAACATTCAAGTCCACTGGTGACCGATGACTAACTAAAGTTCAATGAAATCAAAGTGTTTCGGTTGGTTGTGGCTAGCAGAGGAATCCAGGACGTGCGTTCCGTCCTATTTGGGAATCGTCAGCTGGGTGTACCCGCATCCCAGTGAGCAATGTTGTTCCTACTGAGACTCGAACTTCGTACCCATCACTTCAAACGCCATGGCGTTATCCAACATCACTCACTGAGGTCCAGGTACATCCAGCTGACAAGTCCCAAGTAGGACGAAACGCGCATCCTGGATTCCTCTGCTAGGCACAAACAGCCAAATTACCATAATTAACACTCAGGCAATATCGAGGCATCGGCATAAGAGACCATATGCCAATAGAGGTAAAAAAATTGATCCAATAAAACAACAGTGGAAATATAAACTTCCAGGTTGGGATCTGTGTGACAACCGAAACCAGTGGTTGGAGACTAAGTGATATGGCTCAGAATCGAAGTCACTGACGCAGGTGTATCCAAGCATTATCCTCACCTTTTTCTGCGTATTGAGTTCAGTATTTTCTCATTCCTCCCTCCTCTTTTACTGCTTCCTACTACTTTTGATGGATTCTTCTTTGTTCTCTCATTTTCCATCTTATTGCTTTCGCACTTGATATCCTGACATAAGTTGTGGCAACTTAGACCTTTATACAGTAATACCTGGTTCTATGTTGATCGATGTGATGATAAAGTATTAACCACTCGCAGACAACTTTTCGAATTTGGTCGTTTGCCTATCTATCGGCTGGGGATTTTAATGCCTTGTTATAGCGAATAAGCATATCAGTACATATATTTCAGAAAATTGATTCTCTCCCTTCTTCATTTGCATTAAATGTCTGTAATTGACCTCATATTGTTATCTGTTATCGATCATTCAAATGTTGTCATCAGGAATTAGTGTCGTATTAAAAGTTTTATCAAATGTGTGCAGTCGAAATATACTTGTATGGCATTTTCAAAACAAATTGTTTCTCATGATGGACTATTGATTTGTACCAAATTAATTCATACGAACTTTTAGTTAACTTTTTACTATCTTGTTCACTTCAGTTTTTTGGGTTTCTGCTCTGTTAAAGCGCCAAGTGTTGTTAAGTACATAGGAAGCACTTTTTTTGTCTACTCATATTTCTACAAAAAAATCATTAGGAACATTTCTAAACGTTATATTTTTATCGTTTTCGTCGTATGCTTTAACTAGAGGGATGCAGAATATCCATTCACAGTCAGCCTCTCTTTTCCTAATGGTGTTACGCAAGCGGTATGGGAAGTAATAAAAGACAATCCAGCGAAGAAACGTTTTTTTTGTCTTGTCTTTAGTAATTTTTCATTATCCATTACGGAAATAATAATAAAAAAAACTTAAAACTTGTTAGCTAATTCTGAAGCTGGAGAACTTTTTTGGACATATTTCAAATAACAATAAATCATTCTGTACGTATTTTTCGAGTGAAGCTCACCATTCTGCTTGCAGTGTAACTCTTCACAAACTGACTGCATCTCATATATTAAATTATATGTTCAACAAAATTTACTGGATAATTTTTCAGACTTCTTATCGAGCTTTACCAAGTAATCTGGCCATGCTAAATGTTGGCTATTACAGTGTGAAGCGTAAAAATTGATGTGCAAACCACTACTTTGCATTGTGGGCTTATCATTCTTTCCCTGTAGCAGTAATTGAAGTAGGTATTACTGGTTAAGTGACCTCTAGGCTTCTGAATTTCACTTGGCGCCTACTGTGTTAAAGTCGTCAGGCTTTTTTTCTTAAGGAGGACGCCTTTATAATTTTTATTTTAGATACTCAGGGTCCTTTTTAAGTAATATTTATAGATCGCCCTACTACTTACTTTTGCTCCTCTGCATTATTTGCTGTAATGTATTTAGTTTTTGCAGTAAAGAAAGCATCGACAGTAATGTAGGACCTTGCACAAATGCCTGTTTTCAAGCCACTATGTTCAAACAACACGAAGAAAAATTTATTCAACCAAATGAGAGGGGTGTGAAAAATACGAGAATATTTCAATAATGATACTAACGTATTCATCACTTTCAAAGTGTTTCAGCCGTTTATTAATTGTATGTACTGATTGTAACTTCATCTCTAGATGATCTTGGGATATTTCACATACAAGTCGTACAAATCAACCGAAATACAATGCGCCAGTTTCGTTTATGGAGAAACTGACAATTCACCCGGTTACCGTGGTTTTGCCAACGATACAGATATGCTTGATGCAGCAGGACCTGGTCCATTAGATCCTGATGCTGATACTGTGCATCCAAATCTTGATTACCAGATTGGAAATGTTCGACCAGGGTTTGGCAGTGTGTATCCTGGAGATCCAATGGGTGGTTATCAACCTTAGTATACTGTATTTTTCTGGTCACCAAGAATAATTTCCTTGTGATGCCATGTTGCTACGATTTGTTTGTAGGCTTTTGAACACATAATAAACTGGTGTTTTTTACCTGAGGATTTTTTGTTCTCTTGGTTTTGTCGTGTTCTTCATATTGCCTTTTGTCTCTACCTGTATAAACACATTGTTATCACTGTTTTATCATGAGTCATTAATCTTACTATCATTTGGCTTTTCAATTGAGAATAGTTTGTCTTGTTGTATTGTTTTCTACGGATTTGTGCATATCTCTATCAGCCGAAACCAATTATTCACCACAGCTTTTGGATAATTTTTGGTCAGTAATAATTATAATGACATTTTCAGTCTTTTTAGTTCCTTTGCGATTTCTTACTTTCGCCCTGTATTAGTGTTCATCATATAGGAAAGCTTATATGATGAACACTGATACAGAGCAAAAGTAAAGTCAAGGGTTCAAAAACCGCTCCACCTACCGAGTTTCGAGCTTCTAGGTAGTATCTTTAGCCCTCATGCAATAGGTGTCGCTCATCACCTACTGTACGAATGTGCATAAAGTTGCTGGGTGCATTTCGTTACAGGCTTTCCGTTCTTTTGAATTTTGAAGGAACACAGCAAACCTGTCTTTGCTAACGTGGACACCAAATGATTTTTCAAGCAGACAGTCGGCGCAGACGATTTTTTCATAAGCATACATCGGTGGTTGTGTTTATTTACTGTTGTACATTTTCTTTTATTTCTCATGAAGTCTTATCGTTTTGCTGTTTTCGTGACATCACCCGACATTACTAACGTGTGGCTTAAATAATGGCCAAAGGGTAGTGTATTGACTGTAAATGTCCTCTCTCCACCTGGAGTTATCGACCGCAGAAATAGCATTCATCTCATATTTCCAAAAGTACCAATTTCCGCATTTTTCTTTCAGCTGAGGAAACGATTAGGATGAACACTTGTTAATTGGTTAAGATTATTGGACTAAAGGCAAAATAAATATCCTTTTAGAGGGTTTTCATATACGTTGTTGCGTGTTTTGCATGGATGAGTAGAGAGTTGCGTTGTAAGAACTACAATCACCTTGCAGAGATAGGTAAATATTTCATCATAAAGTTTGGTAAGTGTTTCTCTGTGAATTTTATTGCTAGTTTCCCTTCATTTTTTTCTACCAGTTCAAGAACGATCAACCATATTGCACCTAGTTTGTTTTTCAGTAGTTTTTATAATCGGTAATTTGGTAAAACCAACTTTTACTTTATCACAAGCGATCGTTATCGGCGATATGCGGTGGCGTATAATGAATGTTCAAGTTGATGACTTACATGAACGTGAATGGTTAAGTTAATCTGATTAGCCAACGTTTTAACAAAACATCCATCTAAGTCACCGGTCATGATCCGGCGTACATACGTCGTATATACTATTTCTCAATGTTAATCTTCAGTGTCCACACAAATGTGAAAAGGTTTTTTTGTATTTAGCTGTCCTCTTCATGACTAAGCCTACAGACAATTTTCTACTCGTGTGCTTTTCACCTAGAAATAGATGTAATTTGGTACGAAAATTTCTTTGTCAATTACAAATCAACAGTAGAATGCTTCATGAAGTCATATCATATTTTTCTTTGAAGAACCTATTACAATAAATATGATATTTTGGTAGAGGTTGAGACTTAAAATAAATGATATTTCAACCCTGCTGGCGGATGCCTTTCCATATCTGAGAACATGCTTATCATTAACATAAAAGGTCCCAATAATTCTTTGGTAGCATTGATAATGTAACTGCTTTTTCCCATTAATCGCTGCATTTCACAGGGATCGTGGATACAGAATGTCTATTTGTAATAATGCATCGGTTGTGAAGCACTTCCCATCCAGTTTGGAAATCAAATGCTTCAGTGGAAAAAGTCCCAGTAAAAATCAATTTGACTTTCCTATGACGGATTTGTTTAGGTTGTTCTATATTGTAAATGAAATTTCTCAAGCTTTGAACATAATGTGTACCTAAATTTCAATATCTTAAAATGTCTAAATTAAGTACGCATATATATATATATATATATATATATATATATATATATATATATATAATTTAAGCGTAATGAGAAGCTTATCTGAATCATGTAATGTATTAAGGTTATGCATTCCGAACAATCTGATCACGCATGGACTTGTTGAACTATTTATATGGTGATACGAAGGAGAGATAAATCAAGTTACTGACGACAACACTGATACAGAATGACTACCCGCTGAAAGTTATCAACAATTGCAAACTTTGTCCCAGTATAAAGTATACAGTGTTCCGTTCCTAAGAAAAATGTCTACATCTTTTAACCATTTAGAGGTGATTCACATAGCTTTATTGTGAATAAAAGGGTTAGATCAGCCATCTATAAAACATATTATACATCCAAGGTCATCATTGTAGAGAGGAGGAAGTCCATGTCACGACACAAACCAAAACAACATATAAACGACTGCATCCACATCCCACTGCTTATTAACTTCTATGAATGTGTGGCATTTAGACTGTAAGTGCAGCTAGTAGGATGCTCGATGCCTGTCTATATGGCTACTTGAATACTGAGCGGGTTATCATAATACGGAAAACGTGCAAGAAGTTTTTCATGTAGGTGACTAGCGGTGGAATCCGTGACGTGCTTTTTGTTCCATTTGAAACTCGTCACCTGGGCGTATCAGCACCACAGTGAGTGTTGTTCCCACTGAGATTCGAATCCAGTATGGATCCCTATGGCATAAGAGCCACTACTTGTCCATCAAAGAAAATAAGAAGGGTATAGCAAAACCAGAAAAGATAATTGAGATTTACCGTTTCACAAATTGATAGGTGATGAGATTTTTTTTTGGGATTCTGTACTTTGAGTAGTGCTCGTATGAGCAGGTTACAAATATGAACTCATGCTTGCAAGTCTCTGCAGCATGGTGTCAACCACCAACCATTTGTGTCCCATGAAATTTGTACAAAGTGGACGGATGACATAATTGCCCCTGAATAAACATGTTGCAAGAGTCTATTTAGGCTTGTTTAAATTATATTCACCATTATATATATATATTCAATATTATATTCAATATTCACTTCTGTATTTGACGTTCATCTTGCAAGTGGATGTTGCTTTTTGTCTCGTCATAGAGTTGTTCGTAGCTGATATACTTTTTATTTGGGCTTTTTTCAACTTAACTTTGTCAGCAATACCATGTCCCAAACCTTCCAGTGTACATTTCTAATGCCATCGGATATCTGTAAATTGCAATATTCGGTCCTCTAGAGAAAATGAGATGATTGGATCAACATGTTCATCACTGGAGTTCGAGCAGAGTTAACTACACTGGTGGGCTCTAGTTGTGGCTATTATACCTATCACACTAGCTGGATTACTCATAAACTATTTGCTTTTATTTATTTACAACATAGTACCCACTATTGCGGTAGGTAACTTACTTCTATTCACTATTTAAATTTGTTTTGTCCTCGTCATTCTTATTCTGTTTTCCTTGTTTTACAAAGCCATCTCAATGAATGTGAGCACAGGTAATCACACTCTTCGACAGTGAATTAGTGTGTGGCGTAAGCATCTCTCCACCTTTTTTTAAAACCACTGATCTCCCTTTATCGTTTGCTTGTCTAGAGCATTGCTATTTAGTCAACCATATTACTGCACAAGATACAAAACGGGGATTTGGAAGCTTCATTTTGCTTGAAGATGTGGCCGAACAGATTCACGTAGCACTATTAAGCACGGATCAGTAGTTCACTACGATGTCCTGAAAGTGAAAATGAATAAAATGGGAACATAAGATCATCCATCAGCTTCTCAGATGTGTCTAGACGTTACGATAACATCAAAGTTTGAAGGACATGAGAAATCTGCCAGGTGAATAAAAGGCGAACAACAAACATTTTCAATAACTACCACTTCGTTAACTATTCCGGATTATGCAGCAGGTGTTAGCATTTGGCGAAGATAATAATGTATTTGCTTTATTCTGAACCACAAGTTTGTTTACAGTACAGAATTCTCACCATGCAGTGTTGCAGCAACTTACTCGTCGTACGCCTTTTTTCAAATAAATTAACAATGATTTAGGCTTACCATAGGTTACAAATAATAATAGGATTGCTTTAATACTTAGTGACTGGAGAGATAGTTGTAATAATTGTTCACTCTTATACATTTGGTTGGTAAGATTATTTCTTACCGTTTTTCTTCACACAGTATACGAAGTAAATAAGGTGCAGTCGAATTTATAAACACAGTTGCACGTACATAAAGTTTAATGTATTTACTTCTTATATACTCTGATGGTAAACAGATAGAATGGGACGCATTATTTCATCCTCAGGGAGTAATTGTAACCAGCCGCTTACAAGATATAAGATGCTTATCTACTGCCGAGTTTATCGGTACCATCAGTCGTGTACCACTAGCTTTACTGACAACCTAAGCCATGCAGCACAGTATTTTTTTGTCTAGAAAAGAATAAGGGGCAACAATAAGTAGGTTTAGAAAAAACACTGGGACTGAGAAGACGCAGGAGCAGAGGCTGGGTTATGCCAGACAGTCACGGTTTCCTTTTATCGAAGGTCAGCCGAGAGATTTTACTCGAAATCAACAGAGTATAGAGGGATCAAAAAGATCAGAAGAAAGGCATAAGCCAAGATCGATCACACTTGATACATTCTCTTCTAAAGAGTCATCAATAAGAAGAGATTCGTGAGACTGAAGCAGTTCTACACAGGTCTTGTTCACATCCTAGGATGAAATTAACCATCTGACACTTGGAAGGATTGGGTGTGACCCCACTCAAGGAAGATTGATGATTAATTTCAGCTAAGAAGTTATTGGACTGAGAATAATCTAGAGAGGAGGTAACCGGCATGAATACTGTGAGGTCATCCGCAAACTTAACAAACTTAGTTACATCAGAGGTAGGCATGTCATGTCAAACTAAAGTAAGAAAAAGCCGCACTTTGTGGTACACCACCTTCACTAGTTAGCGAAGCAGAGCCCTTCCCTGTGTATGAAATGTACTACCTTCTCGGAAAAATAAGCATGAAACCAATTTGCAATCCGGAACTCAACTTGAGTTTTGACGAGCTTGTTCAACAAACGGGGTGTAGGAACGAAATTAAAGTCAGAAGTATAATCCAAGAAAACACATGTGACATACTTAGCTCCTTTGTCAAGATTGACAAAAATGTTATGATGTAGAATAGCTTCAGCATTTGACCGACTTCTGAGTTTGTATACAAACTGATTTGGAAGGCTGCAAGCTCCCAGTGGATATCCAAGCATACAAAGTATCAGTTTTTTCCATTGTTTTTAGGAATGGTGAACT